TTAAAGTGTAGGAAAAAGGGAAGAAGATGGTAAACGCCAAGGAACAATGACAAGGTGGCGGGGCTACAGGCAGAACAGAAGGATTGCGGGGGTTAGGGTATCAGAGAAAGAAAGAAAAAGATGGCAGCTAAGTCGATGATGTAGGAAATTGAGACTGGGAAGGGATTGCACTAACTGATAATAGTCAGTTGTACATATGACCCAGGAAATTGACGGCTGAGTAAGGAGTGTATGGCAAGAGCGAAGTGATCAGGAGCTTTCCGGATTCCCACCCAAAGTGGGATAATTCACACTGAGAACAAACATACTACTTCGAGTTGGAGAGCACTGAGCATGAATGGCTGTTTGTATAATCTGGCAAGAGTGTGAAGAAAGGGAAGAGAAAGGACAATGATCTACAGGAATGGCAGTCCACGTGCATTTGTATCCATCTCCAGAGCCAGTAGCAAGAAAAGGGGACAAAAAGGGCTTCTGGGGGGGCTGGAGAGATGGCTCAGTGGTTAAGAGCATTGCCTGCTCTTCCAAAGGTCTGGAGTTCAATTCCCAGCAACCACATGGTGGCTCACAACCATCTGTAAAGAGGTCTGGTGCCCTCTTCTGGCCTTCAGGCATACACACAGACAGAATATTGTATGCATAATAAATAATAAATAAATATTTTTTTTTTAAAAAAAAAAAGGGCTTCTGGACTCTCCAAGCAGAAACACGAAAGGAATTTCAGGAAACAGGGTGAGAGAGAGTGTGGTGCTAATAGTATACCAAGTTTTGTATCTCCCATATTCAAATATAGAACACAGGAAATGAGGCCACCTAAAAACTGCCACTGGCAAGGATGAGCTCAAGTCAAAAGCAAAAGAGAGAATGTGAAAGTTACATAGTAGATCGATATAAGCAGACAGACTTGTCACATTTGAATCATTATTTGGGTAATTTATACTACATCTAAATTAGCACGGTTTCTGTATACCATTTTAACAGTCCAGCTTACCAGCAGCTGTTGCAATATGAGCAGCGGGGCTGTGTCCCACCACCCAGCTAGCTTTACCTGAAATAATTACATGGAAACTGTATTGTTTTAAACACTGCTTGGCCCATTAGCTTTAGCCTCTTACTAGCGAGCTCTCACACCTTGCTTTAACCCATTTCTAATAATGTGGGTTGCCCCATGAGGTGTGGCTTACCAGGAAAGATCTTAACCTGCATCTGTCTCGGATGGGAGAATCATGGTGACTGCCTGACTCAGCTTCTTTCTCTTAGCATTCTGTTCTGTCTACTCAGCCTACCTAATTTTCTGTCCTATCAGGCCAAGCAGTTTTCTTTATTAGATAACCAATGAAAGCAACAGATAAGATACAAGACCCACCTCCATCATTTCCCCTTTTTCTGTTTAATCAAAAAAGAAAGGCTTTAACTTTAGCATAGTAAAATTACATATAACAAAACAGTTATCAAGTAAGAATTACAGTTACAATATTTATATCTACTTTATCTTTTATTATAACTAAGGAAAACTATAACTATCCATTCTTCAACTCCATCAAAGACTCCAGAAGGATATAATACTACCTAAGTAAACAAGAAATAAGAAAACTTTAGAAATGACAGAGAAATCTCGCTGCCTGGACAGTCACCCAAATTCCCTCTTTACCGTTGGGGCATGCATCTTTGGCCTACAGGCCCCTAGTTTCCAGCAGACATTTCCATAAAGCAGGAAATTTCAAAGACAGTCAGTCACTATCTGCTGTGTCCTGCAGAATGTCTTGTAGACTCTTTCATGAGTCAGGAACCCCAAAGACCATCTCACCTTTAGGCAAGTTCAGCAGTCCTTTCTCTGTGGGTTCTTTGTGTCCAGTTTATGTAATAGTCCAGGCAAGAACAGTTTCTTGCCCAAATGGCTATCAAAGTCCATAAGGATCCTCTTCGATGCCCATCTTCCTCTTGAAGTAGCTGGTGCTGCCAGGAGCAGATGAGTCTCATTGTCATGAAAAACCCTAATTTATTAAAACATTTAAATACCATATTCTGCAGTCTTTGAAAGATATGAAGAATGCCTGTCTAACTGAAATATATCTCTATATATCTAGAAAATCTAACTAACATGACTACAAGCTTTACTATTATCCATGATTATCCATTAGCAACCTATATTTCCTAATTATACATTACATTTTTAAATGAACTACACAATCACAATACCTTAATCAAGATCAGAAATACATATACATATAACAAAATTGACCTTAAAATCCACACCAATACAAATTATTCATATCTATATCATATCCCCCTTTAAATGTAAAAGAACGTTTATAAACAATATTTGGGAACATGGGCGCAGTTTTTTCTCTCCAAACTGCTTCCTGCTGAATGGGGCACTGTTATTTAGGTCTTTCATGGTATAACCTATGTGCTAGTTTCATCTCAGTTGGCAGTTGAGTGAAGTAATTTTTTGAGGGTGTTCACAGCAACCTTTCAGGAGGGCGTGGTCTATCATACCATATTGGGATAGACACAATCCAGAGGGTCTCATCCTCTGTGAAAACAAAAGAAGACCCTTCCCAAAACATCATATCCTTAGACCCAAATTCTGAAGTCATACCCTCATGATATTTGTTCTGGTTCCACTTGGCAGCCCATATAATGAAATGTCTCTCTGTACTTAGCTCCTTCACAGTCAAAATTTTTAAAGAAAACACAATAATACAAAGAATCCAGACTCTCTGTGAGTTTTCCATTTTTACATGGCTTATTTTTACTCTATCACTTTATTCTGTCCCTTTAAGACTTTACCCTTTTTTTTAAGGGCATTAACTTTATTCTCTCTATATTTTTTTTCCTCTCTGTCAAGCCTACGTACACTCATCCAACATTGTGATCCGTTTAGTGGTCTGAATCTGTCCTATTGTGAATCTGTAATTTTTTTACTATCCAGGAGCATTTCTTAAAATGTTAAGCACTTCTTAAAAACTTAATTTCCACCATGTAGGGGTAATACGGTACCGCCTTTTACTGCCAGTCTAAACCTTAATTGCACTGTTACTACAGTAATTATGGTAGTTCCTGCCTGAGACCAGCACAGTTCAGCATGGCAGAGCTGAGCCGCTCCTGCCTCAGCCATTTGGTGCCCCTGAGCCACATACAGTTCCAGGCACACAGCAGTCCACATTGCCATCAAGCAAGCCGTAGCATTTTACTCCAAACGCTCCATTCAAAAGCTCTGTCTCCCGCAGGAGCCAGACAGAGATCGCAATGATGGCACAGCCCAGAAAGCCGGCATTTTAAAACAGCCAGTTCTTTCCTGCTGCTGAGTCAGGAAAATTTCTTTGCAGCAAGCCACCCACAAACAGCCAAAAGCTGTGTTAAACTCTCTCTCCCTTTTTTTTTAAAAAGCTCTAAAAGCTCTCTCAGGTTTTTAAGTGGATTTAGTCCATCACGTTGGAGCACCACTCTGTTGTAATGTGTTCCTGCTGCCCCAGCTCACAGCCACCTGGCCAGCTTATGCCCCAAAAATAATTACACAGAAACTGTATTCTTTTAAACACTGCTTGGCCCATTAGCTTTAGCCTCCACTAGCTAGCTCTCACATCTTGCTTTAACCCATTTCTAATAATGTGGGTTGCCCCACGAGGTGTGGCTTACCAGGAAAGATCTTAACCTGCGTCTGTCTCTGGTGGGAGAATCATGGCGACTGCCTGACTCAGCTTCTTTCTCCCAGCATTCTGTTCTGTCTACTCCGCCTACCTAATTTTTCTGTCCTATCAGGCCAAGCAGTTTTCTTTATTAGTTAACCAATGAAAACAACAGATAAGATACAAGACCCACCTCCATCAAGCAACAGTGCCTGCCCAGTGTCATTTTAATCACATCACAGAATTCTGTGAGTTAAAATTTCAGGCAGGATTTGGATAGATAGCAGTAGGGTGACTTAAGTCATACTTAGATGACAAATGAAGTCGTTTGGAAGGTCAAAGACAGGCTTGCTCACAAACTGGAGCATTGGGGCCAGCGGGGAGGTTGCAGACCTCTTCTGAGATAGGCTCGGAATTCATGCACATGGCGACTTCTCAGCTTCGGAGCTAGACTTGACGTCATGCACATGCTCACTTCTGAGCTTCTGAGCTAGCCTTGGAAGTCATAATATGGCCACCTCTAAAGTGACTGTTGATTTTTAAACCCTGAAGGATAGTTCAAGAGAAGAAAAAGAGACTGAATTTCTTGGTGGGAGACTGAAAAGGCCATGCTATAGGAATGTGGAATGGGAGGTATGGTTGAGGCCATCTTTGGACCACCCAACCTGCCCTAAGATACATGCACCTTTAGTATTTAAGTGCTAAAGACTGCAGTCCCTGAAAAGACATTTGCAATGATTGACCAGTCTGACTCCATCTTAAGATTAGAAGCTATCTTGTTACAAGTTCAAAACAAGTTTCTTCCTGTTTTCTGTAAAACCTGGGATTGGCCAGGTCTTGACCCATTTTTTGGAATCTAACATACTCCACACCCTATAGCCTGATTTACACCCTGGTAAGATGTTCTGACAAATAATTTTGAGATGTGCTGCCAAGTTCCCACGTAAACAAAATCCCTTAAAAGCTCCCTAGCCTTGCTGGGCGGTGGTGGTGCAACCTTTAGCCCCAGGCAGAGGCAGGCAGATCTCTGTGAGTTCAAGCCTAGCCTGGGCTACAAGAGCTAGTTCCAAGACAGGTTCCAAATCTACAGAGAAACCCTGCCTCGAAAAACAAAAAAGAAGAAGTAGAAGAAGCTCCCTAGCCTTGCAGTTTTGTAGCTATAAAAAACTCATTTCTCCTTAATGCAGGGCTATTCTCTCAGACTCCACTTTAGGGAGATAACTGTGTCTGACAGAAAATAAAACTTGCCTAATTCAACAAAAATATTTGGGTGGGTGGTTTTTACTCTTGTTCAATGGAATTAACACCAGTTCACAATAAATATAAGCTATTCAAGAAAAGCTTTGAATTTTTTTTTTCTTTTTCCTTTAGGAGAGTCTAGAAGAGCCACAGAGGATAACATATATCAATACGCAGATAATCAGGAAGAAGTAAAAAGGTACCAAACAAATAAAAACTTTCTACTAAGTGCCAATTTTGTTCTTTTCTTAAATATTTATTTATTTATTATGTATACAATATTCTGTCTGTGTGTATGTTTGTAGGCCAGAAGAGGGCATCAGACCTCATTACAGATGGTTGTGAGCCACCATGTGGTTGCTGGGAATTGAACTCAGGACCTTTGGAAGAGCAAGCAATGCTCTTAACCTCTGAGCCATCTCACCAGCCCTAAGTGCCAATTTTGTTTCGGATACTAAACATAATCTTTTTTGTTTGTTTGTTTTACTTTATGAGTGTAAGTTTCCATCTGCATGTATGTACTGCACCATGTGTATGCCTAATGCCCTAGGAGGCCAGAAAAAGGCATCAGATCCCCTGGAGGTGGAATATCACGCAGCTGTGAGCCACCATGTGAATTCTGAGAACCAAACCCGGGTATTGAACGGTGTTCTCAAGCACTGAGCCACCTGCCCAGTCCCTGAGCACAGTTGTAGTCCTCACACTAGACACCCGCCTCACCTGGTCGCCTGGTCGCAGTGAGCTAACACTGATGCACTGTCCCGAAACACCCCAGATTCACTTTCAAATCTTGTATACTTTAAGTAATTTTCATCTTCAACGTATGTTTTTAAACACAGACAGAAAGCAAAAATTTCTCTGAAAGTAAGTTGTTTTTAACTTTGAAGCACAGTGCAAAAGTTAATCTTATCATTTATTTGATTTCAGATCTCCAGATAATCAATAAAATGGATCTTAAGTGACTCAACATCAAGGCAAGAAGAAATTGAGTGCCTTAGACTTCGGCTTCATCTGAGAGGCACATGTAAGGAGTGATACAGAATCATAAAGGAAACTACAGTTGCTTTTATTGGACTTTGTGCTGCAGTGACTATGCAAGTTTAGGAAGGTGAAGAACAGCTCACCTGGTTAGGAAGGTCAATAGTTACTCATAAAATAAACTAAAATGTATCCTCTTACCTGCTCTTACCCAAGAAGTCATGGCATCCAAAAACCAAATTTTAATTATTCCTGATTGTAAATATTTCCAAGTTAAAGAAACCATTCATGCTGAATAAATATGATAATATTTGCTAAAATTCCAGGGGAATGCCCCAGTGCACAAAGGGTCCTAACCAGTCCAAGGTGTGCTCCAACAGTGTGGCTAAGCACTGCTCAGTTTGCTTGGTGTGTGGAAACTTGGATTGATGGCAAGTTTAGCTGATAGGTCACGACCGAGTATACACATGTCCATTTGAGACAGTAAGAGAAACCTTTGATCTCAGGAACCTTTGCTGGCATGCTTGTGACTGAGAGGAGGTAGCTGAAATGGTTACCTTGGAAACATATGGACCCCTCAGGTGAATCCATCAAAGTAGTACACTATCAAGAATAAAGACTGTATTCCCTTTCAGTGCGGTCAAGGTCTACTCTAGTTCTGCTTCCTTTCCTGTTTTGCCATTGCAGAGCAGAGACTAATCCTGGAACTGGTCAGAGGTGTTCAGGTGTGCCTACTATCAGCCCAAGAAGTGGATCGGTTCAGCAACAATATGAGAAAGATGATCCGCTGCCCACACCAGAAAGCTTAGGGAATGTGCGGAAGGGAAATGGCTCTTGTGGCTTGTAAGCCAATTTCCACAGCACCCAGTCCCTGGGCCGGGTCTTTGGTTCTTACCCTAAAATTAGAATTAAAATGTGTGAGCCCGGGGCTGGAGAGATGGCTCAGTGGTTAAGAGCATTGCCTGCTCTTCCAAAGGTCATGAGTTCAATTCCCAGCAACCACGTGGTGGCTCACAACCATCTGAAATGCGATCTGATGCCCTCTTCTGGCCGGCAGACACACAGACAGAATATTGTACACATAATAAATAAATAAAATATTTTTAAAAAAATGTGTGTGAGCCCTTCTCCAGGCCCGCCCTTGCTGTTTGCCCTCCCCCAGGCGGATGGCACTCACAGGACACCACAAGGGAACCTGAAGGAAGGAAGAAGTGTTGAGTGCATAGCTCGCAGTCACTGACCATAGAGCTGCCTGAGAAATCAGGTCTTCTTTCTCCAAAAATGTCCTGATTGCTCCTTCTAAAAGGGGTTGCTATCCAGGAATTGACAGACAGACAGACAGACCCAGGGCTGGTGTGGGAGCAATTAACATTAAATTCTTTAGCATATAATAAGGAAGGCATTTTGAAATGATGGTGAGCCATATGTGATAGCTTGCACCTTTAATGCCAACACTCAGGAAGTAGAAGCAGTCTGTGAGTTCAAGGCCAGCAAGATCTACATAGAAGTTCCCGCTAGTGCTACATAATAAGACCCTGTCAAAATAAAAAAAATAAATAAATAAATAAATAATAAAAACCCAGGCACAGGATTAACAAGTACCACAAATGTCACTCCTTTAGAGAAGTTCATTAAATAGAACAGTTGGCATAGGGATGCACACCTGTCACCCTGGCACTCGGAACACAGGCAAAAAGATGGCTCTAAGTCCAAGGTTGTTGATTGCGTTGGGGTGGGTTACTCAGTCTAGGGGTTTGTAACCCACCCTGCAATCAGTTATTCCAGGGTCTCGGAGGGGTACTACGTGGAAGGGAATGAGCTAGGACAGAAGAAGGAGGCCAAGCAGATTTGTCAAAGCCCCCCTTTATTAGGATCATGGTTGCTGCTTATATAGGCCCTGCATGAGGAGTTGGTGGGCAGGGCACGGGATCTCGCCACGTGGTCCCAGTCACGTAGGCCAAGAGGTTACATTCAGACAGGTAGGCCAAGAAGTCACAAGTTGCCACACCTGGTTCCCTGGATAGCTGGAATGTGAGGCCTGTTCTGCTAACAGATAACAGTTAATTGGGTGTGGGGCAGGTTCTGTCAATAGAACATAATTATGGGTGTGGGGTTCCCTGCAGACTCTCCAGGGTGATGGTTCCTGTAATGATTTTTAGGGGGGAAATGGCTCGTGACACTAGGTCAATCTGTTCTACACAGGAAGTTCCAGGCCAGCCTGGACTACATGGTGTGAGACCCTCTTTCAAAAGACATAAATAACATAAATAATTGTAACAAAATGAAATTAAAAGACCAGCCACAGAGTGGGAGATGAGGTTACAACAGCAAGAAGATAGTTTTTATAAAACACAAACAATAATTTGTTTTTATAATTTTATAATAATAGGTAATTTAATAAAAAGAAAGATGAAATGAAAAAACAAGAAATACAACCTAATAGAAAGAGACAACCCCTAAAAGATGATTCATAGAAGAAAGAAATAGAAATGCTAAAACCATACAGGATGGAAAGATGTCTCAGCAGTTGAGAACACTGGCTGTTCTTCCAGAGGATGCAGATTCAGTTCCCAGCACCCACATGGCAGCTTATCCAACACCTTCACACAGATATGTATGCAGGACAAACACAAAAGCGCATGAAAAAAAACAAATAAGTTATTAAAGGAAAAAACTTAAAAAAAAATACAGGAAATAGTAGCCAAGCCGCCTGTTTGTGGCTGCTGGGCTGGAAGAGAGCACCACAAGGGATGGTATGGCAGGGCCCCAACAGGTTATAGGATTATTATAGGTTAGAGGTTATTGAATCCAACTGTCATAGGATCCAAAATTTCCACATCTATACATTCAAAAGAATTAAAAACAAAGTCAAGAGAGAGAGAAAAGAAAAGGAAAGAGGGAGGAAGAAGGGAAAAGGGAGAGGGTAAGAGAAGAGGGAAGGAGAAGGTAAGAAAGAGGCGAGGGAACAGAGGGGGGAAGGAAGGAAAAGCGGAAGAAAGAGAAGAGAAACAGGGCAAAAGTGATAAAATAGGAAACTCTGAAGGAGAGAAGACAAGACACTCTGATACTAGCCATTTGCAGCACCATCTGGTAAAGGACTAGGCCTGAGAATATATAAAGAACTTCTATAGCCCAATAATAAGAGAAAATGTAATTTGAGTAGGCTTCTCAGCACAAAAAACACGCCTGTGGCAATAAACTAAGAAAAATCCACCCGGTCATTGTTAGTCATGGGAAATGGCACTTTCAGACAACAGAGAGGTGTCACTAAGGTCTGTTGAACAGCCAAGGACACCGAGTGCTGACAGGGTGCCTGGTGATGGGACTGCTCTAAGTGGTGGGTGCGGAAGAACGGCTCGGCTTCGTTTGAAAGTTCTTCCGCGGCATTTTCCAGCCTAAGCCCCTGCCTATGACCCAGGAAGCCCACCTGAGATATTTCCACCAAAGGAAGAAAGCACACATCAATGAAATGGTGAGGTTTTCATTATATTACAGATCCTGTAAAATGTCTATGGATATCAGCTGAAGTGGGTATTTGGCTAGCTAGCCTTCCAGAAGTCATAATATTAAAACAAAGGCAAAAAACAAAATTGCAATACTGAGTCTAATATTAAATGAAGGCATGTTCTTAAAACGGAGCATATAACCAAGCATGTCTCCTACACAGAACCTCATGCCATACCCATCCATGCCTGCATTCTCGCCTCCAATCTTTCATTTGCCTGTATCTAAAGCATTCAGAGAGGAGATGAGCAAATGTCCCTGCTGTTCCTGATACACTTGCAGCACTGGAGGGCAGTTCAGGCAGCTATCCCTCCTAGCCAAAGCCGTCTCCAATGTGTTCTCCACTGGAAAAGCACTCAAAGAAAGTGGGGAAAATGCTTCCTGGTGGATCCTGAAGGAAAGAATAAGAGCCAGTAGTCTGGAGGCAGAGGCAGGAGGATCTCTGTGGGTTCAAGGCCAGCCTGGTCTGCAGCTCTCCTATAAAGAATCTCTCACAACAGATTATTCTGAAGAAAGTGCACCCCCACAAAGACTAGCAGTTGGAGGCAGGCATTAACAGGTCTTCAAATGCTGCTGATAGTCTCCTTCAAAAATCCCCAAATTTGACCAAAAGAAATTCTTAAATGTTCATTGCAATATAAAATTTAGAGCCACAGAAGTGAACTTTCCCTGTTTGCTTTGTACTTAAACCATGCATGATAGTTATTGTTTTTGTTTTTGTTTTTCTAAGACAGGGTCTGTCCCAGGCACTTCCCTAGGTAAAAGAAAATGGCCTTGAACTTCCGATCTTCCCCTCTCTATCTCTTGGATGCTGGAATTAAAGACGTGCAATAACACACTCAGTTTCAGCCATGCCAGGAAATCACACTCAGGACATGGTGTACACTAAGCTAAGTCTTCCAGCTGAGCTACATCCCCAGACCAGCAAGACATGATTTTTTAAACTGATTTTTATTGAACTCTACATTTTTCTCTGCTTCTCCCCCTGTCCTCTCCTCTCTCCCCTTAAATCCTTCCCCAAGGTCCCCAAGCTCCCAATTTACTCAGGAGATCTTGTCTTTTTCTACTTCCCATGTAGATTAGATCCATGTATGTCTCTCTTAGTGTCCTCATTGTTGTCTAAGTTCTCTGGGATTGTGGTTTGTAGGCTGGCTTTCTTTGCTTTATGTTTAAAAACTACCTATGAGTGAGTACATGTGATAATTGTCTTTCTGTGTCTGGGTTACTTCACTCAAAATAATGTTTTCTAGATCCACCCATTTTCCTGCAAAATTCAAGCTGTCGTTATCTTTTTCTGCTGTGTAGTACTCCATTGTGTAAATTACCACATTTTCCTTATTCATTCTTTGATCGAGGGGCATTTAGGTTGTTTCCAGGTTCTGGTTATGACAAACAAAGCTGCTATAAACATAGCTGAACACATGTCCTTGTGGCACGATTGAGTATTCTTTGGATATATACACAAAAGTCGTATTGCTGGGTCTTGAGGAGGGTTGTTTCCTAATTTTATGAGAAATCGCCACACTGACATCTAAACGGGTTGTACCAACTTGCACTCCCACCAGCAATGCAGGAGTGTTCCTTTACCCCACAACCTCTCCAGCATAAGTTGTCATAAATGTCATAAGTTTTGATCTTGGCCATTCTTTCAGGTATAAGATGGAATCTCAGAGTTGTTTTAATTTGCATGTATCTGATGACTAAAGATGTTGAGCATTTCCTTAAGTGTCTTTCAGCAATTTTAGATTCCTATGTTGAGAGGTCTCTGCTTAGGTCTGTACTCCATTTTTTTTATTGGATTGTGTGTTCTTTTGATGACCAATTTCTTGAGTTCTTTGTATATTTTGGAGATCAGACCTCTGTAAGAAGTGGGGTTGGTGAAGATCTTTTCCTATTCTGTAGGCTGTCATTTTGGCCAGACATGATTTTTATAGCATCAAGCATCACTCCTTTAGAAAATATTGGTTCAAAAAGTTAAGCAGCTCTTTCAAATGTTGACCAACTTCTTTATACAATGTTTTTAATTGCATTCAATAATATCATGTCAACCCTCCTCAGAAAGTATTTCGAAGCTTGCAAGCTCAAGATGAAAGAAACATGTTTCTATAATTCTGATTTTTTTTCATTTGAAAACTCAAATTATTACTAGCAAAAAAAAAGGTATCAACTGGTTTTCTTGAAGTGACATGCTCACTTTGTTCATTTTGAAGAAAGTGTCTGCCACACACATCTTAGTGGTCACTCTTTGAGGTAAAATGGGGGGCAGTGAAGCCTACAGCCTAGCCTCACAGTGCAGAGGGGCTCTGTACAGACTCCCCACTTGTCACCAGCTTGCACTGTGAAGTGGATTCAAGGGCTGGGACTCCTCGTAACTGGCTTCTTTATCTTAAGCTCAGGGAGAGGAAGATGTTTTGCCTACAGCCTGGGAGGCAGCTGTGCTCACACTGCACTCCCAGGACTTTGATGTAACTGCCCTGATTAGTGCAGTCGCCCACAGTTTTCCCACCACTGGCACAAGTATGACATGGTAATTAAACTAGCGATACTTTCATACAGCTAT